TGATTCAATATCATACTGTACTCTCTTCTTGAAATTTCGGCTTCCTGGCTTTGGTTTATAGATTTCAGACTAGCCAGCCCTCAGAACGAGGTGACTTTATTTCTTTAAAAAACAAACAAACAACAACAGCAAAAGTGGATCACTATATACACAGCCATCACTACAGAAGACCAGGCTGGCCTTGAACTCACAGAGGTCTGCTTGCCTCTTCCTCCTGAGTGCTGGAATTAAAGACATGTGCCACCTCACCAGGCATGATCTGATTTCTGAAAATTAATATCTTTCTCTTCAGAGGTAGACTTGGAGAGATAGACATTGCAATAGTTTCTCAGACACTACTCATTTCTCCGACAGCAACGTACGTGGGAATGACCTGGAGAGTTTGGAATTTGTTCAGCTCTAGGTTCAAAGTGGATCTATACTGCCAATATGCTTCCAGGAGGCACTGAGCCTGCTCCCTGTGCATCAGATTCTTAATAGGAAAGCTTTATGTAGCCAACCTTTTCTATTCATCATCTCAATTGTTTTTCTAAGATTATTTATATTAATTTTATTGTATTCCATGAGTTAGCATTTTAGTTAACCCTTTTTAATTATTACTACCTTAGTTTCTGTCAGTTCCTCACTGTTATATAATCTGTAATACATATAGTATATGTTTTGGTCATCAGGAGACTGCAAGGAAGACGGTAATCAGACAAAGTTATATTTCCTAGTAATGTTGTAGATAATTTAGTGTTGTAGAATATTAGTTTAACATGTATTTTTTTTTTTGGTTTTTACGAGACAGGGTTTCTCTGTTTTGGAGGCTGTCGGTCCAGCCTGGCTTCAAACTCACAGAGATCCGCCTGCCTCTGCCTCCCGAGTGCTGGGATTAAAGGCGTGCGCCACCAACACCCGGCCATAACATGTATTACATTTATTTATGCTGTGGAATACTTGTTTAGTGATTCTAAGACATGTTGCATTCTTTCATGTTATATCTGTTTAACTCTGTGAAGCTGTGTTAGTTTGCCTGTCTGAAACACCTGATTGGTCTAGTGAAGAGCTGAGTGTCCGGCAGGCAGGAGAGGGATAGGCAGGGCTGGTGGGCAGAGAGAATTAATAGAGGACACATCTAGGAAAGAAGAGTGAGGTTTGAGAAAAGGAGGAGAGAAAGACATAAGGGGTAAGCTGCAGAGTAAGAAGGAAAGAAATATATACACAATAAAGAAAGATAAAAAACACAGAGGCAAAACATAGTTAAAGAGAAATGACCTTAATTAGTTAGAAAGGTTGGCTAGAAACAAAGTCAAGTTAAGGCCAGACATTCTTAAGTAAAAATAAGTCTCTGTGTATTTATTTGGGATAAAAACCAACTACATCTTAATTTGTGTAATAAACGCTCTCTGATGTTCACACAATGGCAAGATAACCTAACACTTTTCTGAGAATCCATCATATATAACTATGTCTTTGTAAGTATAGAAATCTCAGCATGCATGTTTTTCATTAGGATAATTTTGTTCAAGAAGAGTTTTTTTAATTAATGTATTGATTTTTTAACATTTTTCTTTTTCAATTATTTGTTTTTATTTTATGTACATTAATGTTTTGCCTGTGAGAGAGGGTGTCAAATCTTGAAGTTACAGTTGTGAGCTATCATATGGGTATTTGGGAATTGAATCCTGTGGAAGAACAGCCAATCTCTTAATTAAGAAAAATTCTTAAAGCCGGGCGGTGGTGGCGCACGCCTTTAATTCCAGCACTCGGGAGGCAGAGGCAGGTGGATCTCTGTGAGTTCGAGGCCAGGCTGGACTGACAGCCTCCAAAACAATACAGAGAAACCCTGTCTCATAAAACCAAAGAAAAAAGAAAAAAGGAAAAAAAAGAAAAAAGAAAAATTCTTGATCCAGGGTACATATATTGTTTAGACCTTGGAATATTCTGTTTCCAAGCTGAGGAAGTAGATCTGTTGGTGTTTATCCTACTGTGCACAAAGCTCTAGGCTTAGTCCCCAGCACTTCATAAATGTGACATGGTGGACATACATGTAATCCCAACACTCAAGATGGGGTGCTAAAAGATCAGAAATTCAAAATCACCAGATATAAAGTAAGTCCAAAGCTGCCCTGGGCTCAACGAGAAAGGTTCCCTAGAAAGATTATCTAAACATACTACATCCAAACTCATGGCTTCCGCAGCAACTCAGTTCTGTGTATTCAATCCCTGGGTTCCAGGTTTCTGTGGTGTAATGAGTCTTCTCCTGTCCTACCAGCTAGCTCCCAAACAACAACACGGGCACGTATTATTAATTGTGAAAGCTTGGCCTTATCTTAGACTTGTCCCACGAGCTCTTATAACTTAAATTAGCCCATTTATTTTAATCTGGGCTCTGTCATGTGGCTCGTTCCCTATGATCTGCACCTTATGTCTCACTGGCATCTCCATTGCGCCATCTCCTCTTCTTCCTCTCTCCCTGGAAGCCCCACCTACACCTCCTGCCTAGCTAATGGCCATTCGGCTTTTTAAGACACCAATCACAGCAAGTGTACAAGTATCCCACAACACAGGTCTTTGGCATTGTCAAAATCACTGCTGAGGAGCATTTATCAAAGAGCGTTCTCTGCGTGTATTCACTTATTCTCATGTCTGCTCATATGGCAATATCACTTGATTATCTATCTACCTGATGCCATAGGTGGCCTGCCAGAATAGAATTAGCTCAATAGCTAATCATAAATCAGTTTATGATATCACATGGTGTTGTAGGTATATTATAGGAACCCGGTCTAGTCTTAAGGGTCAGGGGCTTTTCCTGAAGAATTGACCTTTGAGATGACATTTGAGGATGTGGCTTTCAGTCCTGTAACTGTTGGTTAGTAGGGTCTGGTGAGAGATTCCCCATGCGGAAAGTCTCTGAAGGTCTTGTAGGAAGTGTATTGCAGATGTGACTCTCCATTTTCTACACCATGGTGTTGTAGAAATGACACTTCACTGGCATACATCTGCTCCTTGATGGCCTCAGTTTACCACAGATAAAGCTGAACACCAAGTGCTTCCCATCCTAAAGAACTAATTATTTTAAGGTATTTTATCATGTAGTCATTATTTTGAATAGCCTCTACCACTGTTGCTTCCATTAATATAGATTTATAACGGTTGAAAAGGAAACCATTACAGTGTAATGAGAAATCCATGTGTGTCTGTTTAAGAGGCAACAAGGATTTACTAAGATATGAAAAGGAAAAACACACGCACGAATACAGGATATGATAAATCCAGTTTCAGAGTCCTTGGAAAGCTGGGAACAGTCACATGCTGCTTCATGCCACCTGACCTGGTCTTCACCACCCAAGAGAGCGCAATCCCCCTCTCCTTCCTTTTTAAGAGGTTACATGAGCAGGTGAGAAGCACCGCCCACTACACTTCCCCTTTTTTGCCTAAATGAGAAGCTTCTAAACCTAATACAAAACTGTATACAATAAGAATGATTATCAAATATTGTCCAGGAGAAAGAAAGGGTAGTAACAGAAACAAAAATGGAATTACAACCAACAAGAAGAACGTCAAGTAAGAAACACATACTAAATGTCCAGATCATACGTAAATGGTAAATTACAGAGATTACTCTAATAGCTGTCCTATGAAGAATCTGAATCTAGTGCCTGATATGCTCTTAGGTAAGATGTGAGAGGGTAGGAACTGTGACTATCTAGTCTTCCACCCCATCAAAGTTATGAGAAGGAAAATATTACCCAAGCAAGCAGGGAGTGCGAGCAAGCGACTTCCAAAAGATGTTAGAAATGATGGAAACAGCTGGCTGCCTGGACAGTCACCCAGAGTCTCTCTGCAACGTTGAGGCAACCAACATTGGCTGCAGGCCTAGAATATCTGACAGACCATTTTCAGAAGCAGGGAAATTTGAAAACCTGCCCTACCCAGTCTTGACAAGGTTCAGTAGTCGCTTTTCCTTGTATCCTGCTTGTCCAGTTTAGACAGCATGCTTACTGTCAGCAGTTGAGGCGAGGGCCGTCTTTGCCCAATAGGCCAGTTTGGCCAATAAGAAAACAAGCTCCATGTGGAGTGTCTTAGGTGCCCATCATCCTCCTGGGAGTAGATCAGTGCTGCCAGGAACAGTTGTGTCTCTCGTCAACAGAATTCTAAATTATTAAAGCATTTAAATGCCATATTCTTAGGTTCTTGATTACCTGTCTATACAAAGTACATCTCTGTGCATCTTGAGAACCTAACTAACACAAGTATGACAAACATGGGTGATTATATATATACATATATATATATGTATATATTAGAAACAATCTTATTTTACATATCAATCCCAATTCCCTCCCATCCTCCCATACCCCCCAATGACCTCACCATCCCATCCACTCCCCAGGGAGGGTGAGACCTTCCATGAGGGGTCATTAAAAATCTGTCAAGTCATTTGGGGCAGGGCCTAGGCCCTCCTCTGTGTCTCTAGTCTAAGAGAGTATCCCTCCATGGGAATTGGGCTCCCGAATTCCATTTGTGCACTAGAGATACATCCTAGTTCCACTACCAGAGGCCCAATAGGCTGTCCTGTGCCCTAACTAACAATCATGGGTGATTATAACCTCTAACTCTTAATAACCTATATAGCTTATAGACTAGAGGTTCACATTATAAGGTGGAGTCAGAGAGATGCCATGTGAGGTAACAAGCCATGAACCTCATGGTAAAATATAGAACAAAGAAATAGGCTAATTTAACTGTGAGAGCTAGCCAGTAATATGCCCGAGTCATTGGCCAGACAATTACAATTAATATTAAGCCTTAGAGTGGTTATTCGGTAACTGTCAAGTGGGATGAGAAATGTCCAGCTACAGGACAGGGTTCAAAAGTGTGGTATTAGCATAAAAATAGATAGATGTCGGCCAATAAACAGGACCCTGGAGCCCATGTGTTTATGACCAACTGACTTTCTAAAGATGCATTTTTATTTAAAAAAAAATATGTGTGTGTGTGTGTGTGTGTGTGAGTGTGTGATGTGTGCACTGAGCTCCCTAATCTATACAGGCTTCTGTTATGGAGGTGGTGGCCAGTCCTGGTGTCTGAATGATTCCCAGAACCCACCAAAGGGGCCAAGTTTCCAGAGCCATGAAGACTAGGGTAACACACCAAAACACAGACTCATCTTCCATTCTGTTTCCATTGGCTGAGCAGCTGGACAGAGGCTACATCTCTATCAGAGCAGAATTGACTCTGTGCTGCCGTGAAGACCAGCCTCCAGCAGCACAGAGTCAGAGGGGACCCACACAGTGGGGGCACTAAGATGTCTTTATCTGAAGGAGTTAGGAAAAGACACACACTCTCTTGATGGTTTCTTTCTGACTTTTTCTTTACTCTCCTCTATTCTTAGTTTTTCTTTACCTCTCTCCTGGTGTTGTCCTTCTCTCTTTCTGGATGTTTTCCTTCTAACTTTATTTCTTTTCCCTGACAGTAATATACTCCAGTAGAATCTTTCAAGCAATATGAAAACTAAACTGTACATTCTCTTTTTCAGTTGAATGACTATAATGAACATAAGTTTAAAAAAAAAGTTTCCATTCCCCTTACATGATTAAAAAAAGTCGTTCCAAGAACCCGAATACATTTACATCTAAGTAACTTGTTATAGATTAACTGAGTGTGAGCAAGCAGGGTATGTTTTCTCAGCCAGTTCTTTTATTGGCAGGCTGCATATTATAGTTACAAAGGAGGAATCAATCACTTTATTACTTATCTTGAAAGGTAAGTTTACAAGGAATCTTTAAAAAATCACAAACCTAAACTTTTATATATGAAAAAGAGTCAATAATTTTGTTGTTGTTGTTTAGGTTTCTCTGTAGCTTTGGAAGCTGTCCTGGAACTCACTCTGTAGACCTGGCTGGCCTCAAACTCACAGAGATCCACCTGTCTCTGCCTCCTGAGTGCTGGGGTTAAAGGTGTGCGCCACCATGGCCCAGCTATCCATAGTTTTTTTAATACCAGGAAGTTGAGGGCAGAAATGGGTACAGGAATTAATCATCATCTTTGATTGCTATCCTAGCAAGAAAGGCACGTCAGCTAATAGTAACTGAGGTGCTTTGTTTTTGTTGCCTAAAATTAATGATCTATCACTCAGCTGTGTGTCCTTGTGAACTTTAGATTGTTTTCTAAGGTTTTCACGTCAACGCTATTATCAAAACATCTTAATCTAACCTGAAATCATTTTAAAGGCTTTGATTCAACTATGATGCACTCCAAAACCTGTAAACATATCTCCCAGAATTAAGATTTAAAAAATGTAAGCTCTCTGGTATCCTGGAATTCAATTGTTTTTCTTAATCATTAACCTAAGCCACAGCCTATGTGGCTCCTCAATAGAAACTCAAGTGTCTAGCTGTGTGGTACTTCCTTGTTTTATTTTTATCCTCTGCAGCCTCTGCTTTATCAGCGGCAGGGGCAACATTTCATCCTACCTTTACCTGTGTCATTTTTTCCACTAAACTAACCTCTATCACAATCCCTACGATACTAAGAACCCTGAATCATCAAACTCCTATTTAAGCTGACATTATTTTTATATAACATCATTGCTTCAGTTATATAGTACAGTTTAGGAGGAAACCATCTTCATAATTATCCATGGGTAGAAGTGCCCAGTAGACTGGGATATTTCTAAGACTACATCAAGAGCAGCAGGGACCCTCCCACAGCCTTTCACACCGTGACAGACACCAGAGAAAAATGGCAGTGTTAGGTTGTAACCGTCTTTGTGAAGTTTATTCTTCAACATTCTTAAATACCCAGCCAAAAGGGGAAAAATGGCAAAAGACTTCTTTAGCAAGATTCTTCCTTAATTCTCCAAACATTTGGTAACCATGCCTTAGACTAAATCTCTCTTGTCTGGCCTTCAGGGTTAAGAATAACCACCACTCAGAGCTAGTCTCTTGTTATTTAGATAAGATTAAGACCAAACATCCTACAGTAGCCTGCCATAGACCTTTAGGTCTTAGGACTTTAACCTTGGAAGAGTACGGGCAGTTTTGATCTTGAGGTAAGATGAAGTGAAGCCATTTTTATGGCCCCCACAGCAGCAAACACACAATACACAGCAGCAGCAAGATACACTCTGGGACCCAGGCTCCCTGGGCCTCGCCTATCTGAGCATCACCTATCGGAGTGAAGTCAATTGCCCTCTGCTGTTCCTCTGACAAGGCCACCAGCACCTCAAGAGCCGATTGCTTCTCTGAGGTGACTACAGCGTGTTTGGGGAGAAACTCTAAGAACAAGCTGGAGTGACTGCTGTTCTACGAGATTGAGAGAATTAGTGCAAGACTCTGAATGTGATGAAGGGAACAATGGTACAGGCAGAGGAGTTGACTGCTGAGACTACCAGTAGCTGGCTGGTGTGCATGTGCATGTGCGTGTGTGTGCGTGCGTGTGCGTATGTGTGTGTGCGCGAGTGTGTGTGTGTGTGTGTGTGCGCGCCTGTGTGTGTGTGTGTGTGTGTGTGTGCCATGTGTGTACAGGTACCCACAGAGGTGAGACTAGGCCAGCAGATTCGCTGAACCTGGAGTTGCAAGTGGTTGTGAACAGTCAGACATGGGTGTCCCACTGAAGAGCATAAGTGCTTTTAACTGCTGAGCCATTTCTCAGGACCCGAGTCAACTGAGTTTTGATAGGAGTTCTAGGACCGTTTAATGAAGAAAAGAATGCTCCCTTCACCCCCTTGTGTTGCATGAACTGTGTCTACATACCAGAAATGTTGAACTGCTACTTCGTATCAATCCCCAAATTAACTCAGTGTGGGACAATGACCTGAATATAGGCACTAAAAAAAGAAAGCATAGAAAGACACTCAGGGAAAATCTTGACTTTGACTTGGAAATGAATTCTTAGACAGGATGCCAGCACCTGAATAATAAAGGGGAAAATGGGTAAATTGGACTTCATCAAAATAAAATCTTTTGTGCATGAAAAGGTGTTATTTTTAAATGTAAAGACAACTAACAGACTGAGAGAAAAAAACTCTATTGATGTATTAAGAGTCTAAGATCCAGGATATATTTAATTTTTTTGTAATTCAAAAACAACAAAAAAGACAGGCCATTTTAAAAGTTGGCAAGACATAAATATTTACTTCCTCAGAGAAGACAGACATGGCTTCTTAGCAAGGAAATGGTACCCAGTGCTGTGGATCACTGAGGATGTTCGAGCAAAACCATAAAGGTGTGTTCCTTCACGTTTACTCAGGTTTCTCTAAAATGTGCTTATTTTTATTTATGCATGAAAGTTTTGCCTCCATGTATGTCCTTGCAGTACCTGTAGGCTTGGGGTCTTTGGAGGCCAGAGCATGGCATTGGATTTCCAGGAATTGGGGTCACAGATGGTTATGAGCTGCCATGGGGTGCTCAGATTCCTGGACCCCTTGCCAGGGCAGCCAGTGATTTCAACCACTGACCCACCTCTCCACCCTGTTCTTGAAAACTTGAAAAGATAGGAAGTGAGTGTTGTCCCAGACAGAAAAACTGGAACCTTCCAAATAGAATTGTAGAAACTAGAGAGCAAGTGAGAATGTAAAATGTGTGTTACCATAAAAACAACAAACAAACAAACAAACAAATTTCATTTCCTTAAAAGTTAAACTCAAAATTAAAGTACCATCCAGCAGTGTCCTGTGCATACTCCAAAAACTGAAAACCGATGCCCAGGCAACAGACTCAAGTACAAACTGTGGGAAGGGTGGAAACAGGATAAATGTGTAAATATATGTAGCACATCTACAAGCCAGGACATTATGGGAAGGAACAGAGTCATAGAAAGCGATGGAGTACCTACGCCTGCCACAGGGTAGGTGTGACAGCATTCTTTGTTGCCAACTTGACGGCATCTGGAATTAGCTAAAACCCAAGAGGCTGGGCACACCTGTGAGGGATTTTTCTTTGTAAATCATTTGAAGTGGGAAGAGCCACTTCAAGCTACATCTGTAATCGGAGCCACAGCTTGTGCTGGACGCCTATGTGAAGGAAGCTTGCTTTTGTCTGCTCGTCCTTGATGACAAGCCCATCCCTTCACTGGCATTAGAGCCTACTTCTTCCAGATTCCAGCATGGATTGAAGACCATCAGAGACTCAGCCTTGTGGATTGAACAACTACTGGATTCTTGGACTTTCTGTTGGTAGACAGCCATTGCTGGATTAGCTGGACCACAGCTTGTACATTACTCTAAACAAAATGCTAAGGGAAATGGCTAGGCACGAAAGGCTTTGCAACTACAGCTGTATTTCATTAAATATTCCACACAAGTTTGTCCAAAGAGCCAGAAAACAGTGATGCCAGGGACTGAGGGGCAGAGTGTGTGGTGAGCAGGTACCTGGTTGTGCATCTGACTTATGGGTAAGGTGTTCTGGAACTAAATATAGGTGGTGACTATATAATAGTGAATAGTTATTTAAATGGTTGATGTTTATATCATGTGAATTTTACTTCATTAAGACATGACCTAATGACAAAAATTCGGAACTAGATTCTTCCCATCTTATGTCAGTCCTGTTCTATGATTTCAACTTTATTTTCTTTATTTGAAAATTACATTAATTTGTTTACTAACTTGTGTGTGTGTGTAAATATGCTTCTATGCATGGGCCACATGGAACTTGCAGGGGTCAGAATCTAACCTCCTGGAGTCAGTTCCATCTGCCAGCAGGTGAGTTCTGGGTGTTGGATCCAGGTTGTCCAGCTGGCCGCAAGCTCCCTCACTCTCTGAGCCATCTCACCGGCACATGGTTTTAGAGCAAACTTTCCAAGGCTACCTTTGGTGATCCCTTCATCGCATTTATGAGCGGCCCCACTGATGGATTTCCCCATGATTTTCTCCATTCAGATCTCAGTGCAAGGCTTCAGGAACATCGCAAGCAGCTGCACAGGAATCATGCACCTGACCATCAACGACATGCCAACCCTGACCGACAACTGTGTAAAAGTGGGTAGTGAGAGTGAGCCTTTCCCTTCACTAACATGAGTACACATACAATGGCCAGAGTGACTGAGAAATGTGAATTGTCTCTTTATTTGAGTTGATTAATATCTAGGAAGTCATTTAAATATCTTCACATACACACATGAATGCACCTGTAAAGACATTTGAGGGGCTGGAGAGATGACTCAGTGGTTATGAGCAGTGACTGTTCTTCCAGAGGACCTGGGTTCAATTCCCAGCACCCATCCACATGACTGCTCACAGCTGTCTCCAACTCCAGTTCCAAGGGGACCTTACACCCTCACACAAACACACATGCCGGTAAAACAGCAATGCCCATAAAAAGCACAAACAAACAAAACCCATTTGCATGCTTAAATTCTTTACAATGTTATAGCCAAAGCACAACTGTAATTCTCCCAACTCTGACCTAGATGCAGCTCTTCTTGACTTAAATCTGATGCCCCCATGTCAAATTGCCAGTTGACTTTAAACATTTCATTTCCTCATGTTTTCCCATGCTCTTGTAACATGATCTAATTTTATTTCTCTGCATTACTGAAACATGAGCATATTTATTTCATAAAATATGAAAACAGTCCTGTTTTGCTTCAAAATTAGGAAAATGTAATAATTAGCATGTCTGTTTCTGAAGATCTTGAGGGGAAAATGACAATATGCCCACATTGTTGGTTCTCTACAGTAGTCAGCCTGTCTCTGTTTCTTCCTCTCCCAAAGGTCTTGGTTGAGAAGTGTCCCCATATTTCCACGGTGGTTTTCATTGGCTCACCACACATCTCTGACTGTGCTTTCAAAGCTCTTTCTTCCTGTAACCTCAGAAAGATCCGATTTGAAGGTCTGTGATGCTAAAAACATGATTTAACCTTATTTTTAAATTTTATTCCCTGGACATTTAAATATAATATTTGTATTTTCTTCACTTCAACAGGAAACAAAAGGATTACTGATGCGTGCTTCAAATATATAGACAAGAATTACCCAGGTATCAGTCACATCTACATGGTGGACTGCAAGGCACTAACGGACAGCAGCCTCAAGTCACTTTCAGTTTTGAAGCAATTGACCGTGTTGAACTTGACCAATTGCATAAGGTAAGAAAGCATCCAGGGTGTGCCAACTCAGTGTTCAAGAAACATTGTCAAGGATGAGTCAGGCCTCTCCACGATGTTAATGGGGATCAGGAAAGGCAGCGGTCCAAGTCTTGCTGTGTAGATAAGCTCTCTATTGTGACTGATGGGTTAATTATACAGTCATTTTTGACTGTGCATGCATCTGATTTTAATCATATGCACACCCAATTATGCATAGGCCCAAGATAGTAAACAGAGGATTCCCCCACAAGTTCCCTTGAAAACACAATTTTGTACCATTGCACATGTTCCCAAACACAGTTGAGCAGGCTCAGCCTATGTTTCATTCTAGATATCTGGACATCTCTTTGAATGGAAGCTGTCTAGGTTTCATTGCTGCTAGGGGAAGGACAACTTGCACTGTTTCTCACAGAGAGAGAGAGGTGTACAAGTAGCCCAGTGTGGGTGGGACTTGAGGGGGCTCACTCAGCCGAGTCTCCGGCTACCGAACTGTCCGGCTTCGGCTTCTTTGTGAACTGTCACTCCTGTCTCCTTGCCCACAGTGCTGCTCTTCTGCAACCTTTTATAAATCTTTCCCAGAGAACACTTCTCAGTCCTACAACTTGGGTTCTATATTTTATTTTCTTGTTAATGAAAACATTACTCACTGATTGATTACTCCAGGCTGGTGTTTGCCAGTAGGTAAGTTGTTAATGCACTCACTGATTACTCCAGTCTGCTTGTGTCTGGACCCTGCCCGTCATCCCATCTCTCTTCCCACCCCACCAGCCTCTGGCTTGCCTTCCTAACTGCTGGAACAGCAGCCCAGGTAGGTGGCTGGGTGAGATGCATCATGGGAATCACTAAAGTAACCTATTCTCTGGAATACTTTATGATAGTTTTTAATGTCCACTTTGTCACAACCTAGAATCACCTGAAAGGACTTTCAACCTGTCTGTCGGGTTGGCCTGTGAGCATGTCTGTGTGTGTGTGGAGGGGGGGGGTGCTTGTTAACTGGCATGGGGAGACCCATGCTGAATGTGGGCGGTGCCATGCCCTGGTTTCCAGGTCCTGTGATGACTAATCTTGGTTGTTAATTTAACACAACCTGAAAGAGGGTCCCTGAACTGAGCAATTGCTTCTATCAGGGTGACCTGTGGGCATGAGTATGTGTCGATTGCTTTTAGATGTAGGAGGACCTAGCCCACTGTGGGAGATGGTGACTCTGAGTGGGTGGGCCTAGGCTGTCTAGAGCCTCGTAGCGAGCATCTCTGAGGTCGGTGCTTACTCCCTGCCTTTGGTTCCTGCCTGAACTCTTGTCCTCGCTTCCTCTGATGGTAGACTCGAAACTGTAAGGTGTAGTAAACCCTTCCTCCCCAGGCTGGTTTTGGTCAGTGTTTTATCATAGCAACCGAAAGGAAATCAGGACGGGCCTTGAGTAGTATGAGCGGGGAAAGCTAGCTGAGAGGGTGTCTGGGCACCATCAGCTCTCTCTGCTCTTGACTGCAGATGTGAAGTGACTAGTTGCTTTGAGGTGGACTCTCTCAATGACTGACTTTATCCTCAAACTGTAAGTCAAGTACACCCTCCATCTCAGAGGCTGCTTGGCTCAGGGTGTTTTATTACAGCAACAGAGACATTTGCCTTCTGCCTTTTCGGCTCTGCTCTTGGCGACTCTGACCAAAAGGTGGGCATAACCGGAAAGTGCTGCCAGCATGGATGGCTCTCAGTGCTCTTCCCGCCTGCACACCCTCCTGTAGACTGGCTGTGTGTGAACACTCTTCTTTAGCTGGAGCTGATACAATCCCGTGTCCTGTCTCATTGGCGGAAAAGCTTTCTGGAGGTGGAACTGGTCTTCAGATGGAATTAGAAGTAAAGCCCTATTGGAAGACTGAGGGCAATGAGTCCAGTCCTCCGGATGTTAATGCAGGAGTGACACCATGGGAGATGCTGTGGCCCCTGCAGGTGCTTCTAACGACGGTGGGCTGAGCTCACGGTCTTCTTCAAGGTGACCTTGAGTGCAGCGCAGTCCATCCAGGGTCTTGAGTCTTGCTTCTCCCTGTTCTAAAATTGGGCCTTAGCCTTTTGCTGTTCCTATCAGGGATTTCTTAGCCTTAGTACATTTTAACCTGGAAGAAAGAGATCATCCATGTTATTAATAATTATGCCACCTAATAAAACAAATAGACACAATAACATTTTATGAATCTCTCTCCTATTACTATCATATATCCATTTTCTGTTATATGAAGAGCTATGCAATCATTTTTACAATTTTGAAAAAATGTCGTTATGTAGATATTTCTTACTTTGGAATGTATTTGGTGTAGAAACTGATTTACCACCAGCCTGTGTATTTGTATATGATAACATATGTGACACTCCTCTCTCTCTTTCCCACAGGATTAGTGATATTGGCCTGAGGCAATTTCTTGATGGTCCTGCGAGTGTGAGGATAAGAGAGCTCAATTTGACTAACTGCTCCCTCCTGGGCGACGTCTCCGTTGTGAGACTATCAGAGCGGTAGGACAAGTGGTGCCTTGCATTAGAACATTAGCTGTGATAGGAGTGATCAGGGATAGACCTATAAGCCAAGAGCCCAAGTCCTTAACTGCACATTAGGCACACCCAGAAGCTAGAATAGTCCTTAGGTGTTGAGTCCCTAGACTGAACTAACCCAACTCCATCTGTGCTGCTTCTTCTTATTGTTACCTCGGTGTAATTCTGAACAGAGACATGGACATGTAGATAGTGGGACTTCTCTGCTCAAGGGTACTGTCCCTAGTATACACCTTGTTCCAGGTTTCCTGAGGACTGTTCTAGCAGATTGATTTAACCCTGACCCTCCTCGCTTGGCAGCGGCCTTCTGTTAACTAAGGGATGTGCCCAGCTCCTGCTACAGATCGCTGAGAGAGAGTCCTGGAGCTCGGCCTTATGTCTGGTGGCTACTCTTGAGGGTGTTGCCATGCTGGTGTCTTATATGACTGTGATAAACACTTTTCCTGCATTGTTATAGAACATAGTGGGAAACAAAAATCAAAGAAAGTTTCATGTTAAAATCCACCTTCCTTCCCTCCAACTTTATAATGCCAGAATATTAGCCAGACGGGGCTCACACCAAAAACCCCAGCACTTCAGAGCTGAGGCAAGAGGACTGCCATGAGGTCAAGGCCAGCCTCGAACTGTATAATGAGTTCCAGGCAGTTTAAGACTCTGTATCAATAAAACAAAGCAGCCAAACTGTTTTCTACATTTGGGTTGAGAAAAGGCAAATCCTGTTTTCCACTCCGTCTGTTCTCCCCAGAGTTCTTGATGGAGAAATTGTTGATGTGTTTGAGAGCTGAGGTTAATCATGGCATTTTCTTTCAGCTGCCCTAATTTACACTATTTGAGTTTACGAAATTGTGAACATTTAACTGACCTGGCAATTGAATATATTGCAAGCATGCTATCCTTGATATCAATAGATCTTTCTGGAACATCCATCTCAAATGAGGTAAGTAAAAAATATATATTAATAATTAATATTAATTAACTTAATTAATATTAATTAAACAGTCTTTTTTGTAATATTGTTTTATGGTTTACAAGAAAATGAAGAGAATAATATTTTTCTTTCTTAAGTGTTTAGATTACAAATGGGAAATTTAGGAATGTTGTCCCTAGAATAGTAATTAATGATGTTACTGGTAAACTGTCATGTTTCTTTGTTTAAAAAAATTAGCAGAACACAGTATTTTGAGAAGAGGCATGACAAACCAAAGTGATACATGACAGTGTGAAATTTGTTTCATCATAGATGTTTGGTCTGTGTAGCAATAATACACTTTAGGCGGCAGCGTCTATTTTTCCTGTGAGACTGAAGCTGAAGTCTAAGAAGAGCCCTGGCAAGACTTGGGTGTCTCAAAAGCAGTAAATGCTGCTCTGCAAAGACCAAGCCTATCCCCGCACAGGCTCATCTCCTCCCCATGGAGGGTGCTGATGGTGGGGCTTCTGAAGGACTTTACTGCTAGATGTAAACAAGAGCTCCTTTCAAAATTTGGTGCCCAGGGAGGGAAAGAGCTAGGGGAGGGAGGACTCCGCGCCCAGCTGCTGGCTAAATCCCTAGTTAAAGACCTAAGTCAGATAGATGCCACCTGTCTGAGGTCTCTCCTGAGAAGGCCTGGCCACCACACACATCTCCAGCCCCAGGCATCATCAGCGTGGTCTGCTTCCCCCTGCCCCACAGACAGCCTTCCCCAGCCGAAGGATGTGCCTGTCCGTGCTCCCGGGTCTTTTCTGTCTTTTATGAGTGCATCTAGATCCACCCTTCATTCTGCGGGGGTGCTCGCCTCCCCCTTCTTCGGTGTGAAGAGTTACATGTAGCCAGCTCTTTGTGGTTCAGTTCTTGTGTGGTCTTCTCAGCAGTGACTTCAGGGCATACAGGAACCCATGTCTTGAGGCCATCTCCTGCTGAGTTTCAAGTCTGGGTAGACCACCAATGTCTGCTTCATCCTGGCTCCAAGGCCACGTCTCAGGGCTGCTTTGGATCCTGCCAGAGTGGGGTGACCATGTGAGGCTGTCTCAGGGTCCCTGTCCCGGAAACCGTCACAGACATTCTGCTTCCCCACATGCATTCACCCAGACCCATGCTTGCCTTCCTGCAGGGCAAGAGTTGAGCTTGGCACTTGGGAGCGGTTAGCAGGTCCGTGAAGGAGACTCGGTTTCCTCCACCCGCTTGGCATCGCCATCACCTGTGTTTACTTCCTGTGTGTGCTCATTCTTTCCCAGCATCCCTGCTACGGTCCCAACTCCCGGGATTACCTTGACCTCTGAGCTCCAACACCATTTCTTCCCGTTGTCCCAGCATAGGACAGTAGGTGTCTGACTACGACATCTACCCACTTAGCTTCTCCGTTTCTGCGTCATCCTTGCGTCCTGTTAACATGAATTTTCCTTCAGTCTTTAAGTTTTATTCTCCGGTTTGATTTTCTGAGTATGGATGCTTTGTCTGCATATATGTCTGTGCACCACGTGGATGCCTAGTGCCCAGGGAAGCCAGAAGAGGGCACTGGATCCCCAGGGCTGTTTGTGAACTGCCATGTGGAAACTGACCCTGGGCCCTCTCTGAAACAGCGTCGTCTCTCCAGCCCCATTCCCTTAGTTTTTGAATACTTAGTGCTTGGTTGTCTCCTTCTGATATTAGCAGATAAAATAATGAACACAGAAAACTCTGGTGTCTCTTTACTTTTATCAGCTCTACAAGGAAAGGGGAAATGGGTGGGTTCCCTAACCTGTCTGGAGCTCTGTCTTCCTTGGCAGGGGATGCCGTCTGAGATGGTCCCCAAGTGCTGAGTGCTTTACTCCCTTCTGTCCCTCCCTTCCCCCTTCCATCCCTCCTCCCCCTCCCTCCTCCCCTCCCCCTCCCCTCCCACCTCCCCCTCCCATCCCCTCCCTCCTCCCCTCCCCCCTCCCCTCCCTCCTCCCCCTCCCCCTCCCCTCCCTCCTCCCCTCCTCCCCTCCCTTTTCTTCCTCTCCTTTCTTCTCTTCTTAGTTCTTCTAAGTTTTCTTCTTGGCATGCAATAATTCTATAATCTAGGGATGGGAAAAAAGATTCCATGATTTTTAACAAATGTTATACCCTAAATCTTTTTAGAATCCAGTCTTTTAAACCTTAAAAGCCCAGGACCATCCCACACGCCATGTTCTTCTGTATGAAGTCTCCCCTTGGCACCTGAGTAGAGTGACCAGCTGTTGTCCTCAGGGTCACGGGGTAACACGGAGAAGAGGACGGGGCACGGATCCAGCATCTCTGTCTGCTGCAGTGCTTACCCCACGCTCGCCCACGTGCCAGGAAAGGTCTGCTAAGTGGAGCACAGTACAGTGACTGAGTGGGTTTTTAGCATTTAGGGGGAACTCAGTTTCCAGAGAGCAAGTGAAAAACTTAGGGATGTGGTCTCAAGTTCTGTTCTCTGTATTTTTATTATCCCCTGAAGAAAGCCTGTCATTTGAGAGCTATAGAGACCCATGTGCCAAACTAAAGATAGCACTAAATGCTTGAAAATCTCCTGAAGGTTTTTTCCTTCCTTTGTGTCAGACTCTCATCTAAGAGGCTAGTGATTGACACGGACAGTGGTACAGCAGCTGTGGGAGCTAACCTCAGGCAATCTCAAGTGAGTCACGGCACCACCCTCTGTCAGAGCAGCTGAACTCTGTCCTGAACTGCAGGTCTGATGAAGCGCAAATCTGACTGCAGACTAAACACTCAGAATTTAAATTCTGGAATATTACAGATAGTCATCAGAGAGGAAATTAACCAGTTGTGCCTTTGGGCAAAGTTCGTTTTCTAGTAATATGTCCATTTTAAATTCTTCTCAGTAAGTTTTCAGGTAGAATCGCACCATTGCTCAGTTTACATGTATTTGTTCTGACTTTTGTGTCTGGTGCTGGGCAGCCCTGGCCCTTCCTCCTGGCCCTTACATTGTGTGGGGCCGTGCTGTAAGGCTCACAGGGCATGGACAGCCAGGGTAGAGCAGCCTCCTTGGGCCTTAGTTTCTAAGCAGAGGAGAGGGGTGTGAGTGCTCAGAGAGGCCAGCTCCAGGCCATCGAGGGTCAGCTTGTGGTGGCATCAGGACAGCTGCACATGTGACTACGGCTTGATTTGAGGAGAATATTGAGGGGCGCTGTGTATGGAGCAGGCAGGGACCAGGTATCTCTAGACATCTTTAATCATCTATATTTGTAAACATCTAACAAAATTATGTCCTTGATTCAACTTGGACTACTTGGATATAGCTTTACTCCATGTATATAACAAGGTTTTCTGCTAGTTAAAAGAGCTGCAATTTACTAAAGACCCATAATTAGGGCAGTTAAGAGCTCCAGCAACCTTAGTCACTAGCATATCTGTTGTTTAGAGGAAAAATGAGTCAGGACAGTGTCCAGACGACTCCTTAGACAGTGGTTTATGAAGACTCTTTCATTTGCACAAATTGAAAACTTTTCTGATGAGTCCTGGACAGTGAGTGGTTTTCTGGTAGGAAATCTGCTGGAGTCCCCACACTGGCTGAGAGATCCCCAGGACCCAGAATTGGTTCCTTCCACTGCTGTTTCCTAGAAGCCCCTTGACACATGGAGCGAAGGACAAACGGCTGACAACGTGGTTCCTAGCAGCTCTGCAGCTTCTGTTGAAAGGGGAGATGTGGAATATTTGATGCAGGGTAGCAGACAGGCACAATGACGTCCTAATTTGGCCTGCCCAGCACTGTGAGCTTGTTCAAGGCCCTCCATGCAGCTTAGTCTTGCTGGAATGCACGGCGGGCGGGCGACAGGGATGTTGAAGGCAAGTTAGTGCTGAGCTGAGAAGTGCAGACTTGAACCAGTGACAGTGTTCACTTGGCGCAGCCACAGTTCCCCGTGCTAAGTGACACCTTGGGAAGCTGGAAGGTGCAGTCTTAATTACTGTTCCATTGCTGTGAAGAGACACCAAGACCAGGGTACTCTTGTAAAATGTTTAATTAGGGCTGGCTTACAGTTCAGGGTTTAGTCCAATGTCGTCATGGTGGGATGACCACACATGGTGCTGGAGCAGGAGCTGAGAGCAGGGTCTGCACACGTGCGCCTGGATGCAGGATCTGCTCACATGTGCCTGGATGCGGGGTCTGCACACGTGCGCCTGGATGCGGGATCTGCTCACATGTGCCTGGATGCGGGGGTCTGCACACGTGCGCCTGGATGCGGGATCTGCTCACGTGCGCCTGGATGCGGGATCTGCACACGTGCGCCTGGATGCGGGATCTGCTCACATGCGCCTGGGTGCGGGATCTGCTCACATGCACCTGGGTACTCCTCCTTCCATTCTGCATGTTCCTGTGTATGCAATTAGGGGATCTGGACAGAGCTAGATTGCCTGCTAATATAGTGGGATAATTTTTCTTTAGTAAGCATTTGCCATACTGTCCATAATGATCAGGAAATCACTTTTCTATGTAGATCATTTCTAGACAATATCAAACGGGTTTTTATGTGTCTTCCCTTCCCTCCCTCCCTCCCTTCTTCCCCTTCCTTCCCTCCCTTTCCTCCTTCCTCTCTCCCTCCTCCCTGTCCCCCTCCCTCCCCTCCTCCCTCCTCCCTCCTCCCTCTCCCCCTCCCCCTCCCTCCCTCCCTTCTCTTTCTTCCTCCCTTCTGTTTTTCAGTGCCAGGGAGTAAACTGAGGGCCTGATTCGAGCCAAGCAAGCTCTGACTCCATCAAATTACACCCAACCCCCCTTTTACCTTTTATTGTGAGACAGGGTCTCACTAAACTTTCCGGGCTGGCCTTGAGCTCACCTGTAGCCACACAGGCCTTGACATTTGAGGCTCACGCTTCAAGCTCCTGAAGAGCTGTGTTACAGGCCCACACCACGAGGCCTGGTGATATATCCTTTCTTTACGAAAACAACCCATGCAGTGACATAATTCTCTGGCAGTTTTTCTGCATTAGTGTTAGATAAATATTGTTCAGTTCCTAATGTCCTGTTTATTATTGTTGCCCCTTTATGTATAGCTTCCTTGGTCTTGTTACCTGTCCTGTATGCCATTGCTGCCCCTTTACAGTGTAGCTACTTAGATACCTTGTTAAAAAGTTTGAAAGACACAAATCATTTTCAGACAGAATTGCAAAAATACAAAATCTAAATAAATTCAGCTTCCATATTAATTTGAATTGTAAGTCACAAGGCTATCTAGTTTAAGATCTTTTAAATCAAAGCAAGGACCAACCATCAACAAGAAAACTGTGGCGGAGTAATTTGCTGCTGACCCTGATGTCTGCTTGCTCAGATTGAATAGCTTGAGCGGTCTCCTAGGGTAGCCTGTGCTCTCGGGGGCCACTGTTCCCGTTAGTGTCCCCACTTGCAGCTAACCCCCACCTTTGACCTCTGTTCCAGAGGCAGCAACCCTCCTGTCTCCCCAAACACACCGTGTTCTTTCTTCATCTACGTAAATTATTCCCCTTCCTCGACCACCCACTAAATCCTTACATGTCTTTAAAGTCTCAGTAAATCCTTACATGTCTTTAAAGTCTCAGTAAATCCTCACATGTCTTTAAAGTCTCAGTAAATCCTCACGTCTTTAAAGTCTCAGTAAGTCCTCACATGTCTTTAAAGTCTCAGTAAATCCTCACATGTCTTTAAAGTCTCAGTAAATCCTCACATGTCTTTAAAGTCTCAGTAAATCCTCACATGTCGTAAGTCTCAGTAAGTCCTTACATGTCTTAAGTCTCAGCTGTTACTGGCTCTGCTGATACAGAGTTGTTAGGTCAGAGCCTGGGCCTTGGCAGCCCCCAGCAAGCCATGCTTGACCACCATTTGAAATAGACCAATTACACCAACAAGTAAGCATGAAAGGCAGAAAAAGGAAATGTATTCACTTATCTGCATTGGGAGGAACAACAAAGAGCTATGGTGACACCCTCACCCAAGTTCATCTCCAGCATCACAATGAGGTGCAGGCTTAAATTCAGGGCCAGAGGTGCATCACTAAGAAATCTGCTTGGGGGGTGTGGACCTGCCACCACCGTTGTTTCTACTGTGCTCTCTTCTGCACAGCCTTCCTCCAAGTTGTCAGGACTGTACGAGCATATGAACTCTTGTTTTGGGAGACAAGCTCCTACTGCAATAGACGCCAGGGTCCCAGCCTTTCCTGGGGAAACGGCAGTTCCACAGGATGCACTGTCTGGGTAGTCTGCTGGGCACTGGGGGATACAGCCATCTCTTAAGAATACCTTCCTTCCTGCCCAGGATGGCTAGAGGCTTAGGACCTTCTCCATATTTCCACTGCATAGTCTCTATGCCTCAATCAAAAACATCTGGCCTGAGCCCCAGCTGAGGGCCGTGTCTGCATCCGTGGCCTGGTCTCTGTTGATGTTCGAGGGTCCTGTTACCATCGAAAGCCATGCGGGCACCTGAGGTCTGGGGCCATGTTAGTGTCCCAAGGCCATGCTGCTGCTGGGGCCATGCTGATCTGAGTGGCCTGCACTGACCCTTGGGGCAACAGTGACATCCAGAGCTGGCTGCTGCCAAGAACCATGCCTGGGTCTGAAGTCCTACCACAGCTGGAGTCTGTGGCCTGTGTCACCTCAGGGAGCCGCAGGAACCACACATAGTGAAATCCCACTCTTTGCTGTCCCTGGGAATGCTGGTCATGCCTCTCACTGGACACTACAGCAAGAGCTGGCCACGAAACTCACAGGAGAGCTGGAGCCCACACTCGGGAGAGACAGCCCTACTCCTCACCGTGGAGAAGGAGAACTGAGCCTGACGGCATGGGCACAGGGGTGACCCCACCCTCTCACCTGAGGGTGGTTCCAGTGGCCCAGACTGACCAGCTCAGCTGCTACCCATCCACAGCTGGGTCTTGGGCTGGCCCACCCTAACATCTACCCCATCTGTGACCTACTGGAGCACATGCAGGGACTGTCCTGTGGCTGCAGGACATCAGGCATGTTGGTGAGGGTCCACCGATGATGGTGTGCCAGAAACCGGACAGTGACTCACTGCACCGAACACTTGCAAGTAAAGCTGACCGGACAAAAGGCTATACTGTGTGACTCACTGCAGCTCCCAGGACAAATGGAGAGGTGGGAAGGTGAGGACCAAAGAGGTTTTAATTTTGTTCTGTCTCTGTTTGCATGCTTTGTTTTCCTTTAGTTTTCTTTTGTAGGGGTGCTGCAGGGGCGAGGGGAGAATATGGGGGACCTGGGAGGTGAGAAGAATTAGGGTGATGATATGAAATTCCCCGAGATTCAATAAAGAAATGATGTTAGAAAACAATGGGCCCATTACTCGCAGTACTTCTTCTAACCGCCCTTCCTCTGCACTCTAGGCTCTGAGGCTGGGCCATCTGTCTTATCTTAGGCCGCCTGGCACTAATGCCCAGTTCATAGCAAGCACAGGATGTGTTGTCTGTAAGCAAGTGAGTGAGGGACCTGGCACCACGCCCTTTCCCCCCACCAAGCGCTAAAGGCCTCTTTGAATTCCGCCTCTCCTCAGCCATGCTCCGGGCGGGAGGGGGGAAGCTCACAGCTGCATGTCTTCATCTGGTGACACGCCTCCTGGAGACCACCCATCTGCATGGAACACACACAACGGCCAGGCACACACAACATCCAAAGCAGGAAACCAGGAACTCAACTGGGACTCAGGCTATAAGAAAAGATGAGCATTAAAAGGAAGCAGGAAACTCAGAGACAAATGAATTCGCCTTGAATGTTTCAAAAACACAAGCCAAGAACCTAGCTGTGGTTTTCCACAGGGAGGTGGGCTCCCCTCTCCTCTCCTGCCAGGATAGGATGTAAATTCTCTCACAGAGGTCACAGTGTCTTGTCTCCTGTGTCCAGCAAAGTGCCCACTTAACCTATAGAGAGAAGTAGGGGTGGGTGCCTGTCATTCCCCTCTCTTCTCCTGCCCCAGGGAAGCAGCAGTCTCGGGGGCTGCCCTAACCCAGCTAGCAGAGATGCTGGTCTCCCCATATACACTCTACATTTCTAGTGTTGGGCAGAGTCTGCCTTGTGTGGTGGTCAATTAGTCAGAAAGGTTGATAACACTTCAAAAAGAAGTTACCACAAAGCTATCCGTAGTGGCCCAAGCTTTAGTTTCAGCTCTTTAGAAGGCTGAGGCAGGAGGATTGCCATGAGTTTGAGGTCATTCTGTGTTGCATAGTGAGTTCCAGGAAAGCTTGAGTTACAATGTAAGACAGTCTCAGAAGGAAAAAAAATTTAAAAAGAAAACAAAAAGCAAATGCAATCAAGTGAGTGGAAGCAAACAAAAATAATTGAGGAGTAAATCTCTTTATAAAGTCGTAACTGCTGATAAAACTCTAAAAGGGAAGGCAGCTTGGGAGCCTGAGACACATTTTCAAGAGTACAAGGTAATGTTATCAGTGGCTTTAGAAAGAGGTTCAGTGAAATGATACGTAGTCCCAAGAATAAGTTTCATTCGATATTGCTAACAGACTGCAAGTGGAAACACGAACAAATCCTTCTCAATTCAAACAATTCCGGAAGAAATTGTCACGAACCCCCAGAGTGCCAGCAAGATAGGAGGGAATCAACATAGTCCACAGCAACAGACCACCAGGGCTGGGGCGATGGCTCCAGCAATACAGCTATGAAGCCATGGAGAGAGACCCAAGGTCAGGTCCCCAGAACCACATACAAGACAGGTGGCAAGTGTCTGTAAACCCAGCTCTGGGCCAGTCTAATCAGCAAGCTCTGGGTCCCAGAAAAAGACCTTGTCTCAGAAAGGAAGGTGGAGGTAACTGAGGAAGACAGCTGCCATCACCTCTGAACACACACACACACACACACACACACACACACATACACACACACACTCAGACAGACACAGATACACACAGACACTCACAGATACACACAGACACTCAGATACACACAGGCACACTCAGACACACACAGATACACACAGACACACACACAGCCAGTCAGATATGCACAGACACACTCAGACACACACAGACACACTCATATACACACACAGACACTAAGACACACAGACACACTCATATACACACACAGACACTCAGACACACACAGAGACACACAAATACACTCAGATACACACAGAGACACACTCGGATACACACACAGACACAACAGATACACACACAGACATGCTCAGATACACACACAAACACAGATACACACACAGACACACTCAGATACACACAGGTACACACAGCCAGTCAGATACGCACAGACACACTCAGATACACACACAGACACTAAGGCACACACAGACACACTCATATACACACTCAGACACACACAGAGACACACAAATACACTCAGATACACACAGAGACACACTCGGATACACACACAGACACACAGTTACACACACAGACATGCTCAGATACACACACAAACAGACACACAGAGACACAGATACACACACAGATGGACTCAGATGCACACACACAGACACACAGATACACACACAGACATGCTCAGATACACACAAGCATACAGACACACAGAGACACACAGATACA